TATATATATATATGTACGTACGTACACACACACACACACACACACACAATAATAAATAATAAATATTAGGGTGGGAAACTGCAAATTGCAAAAGGAAGAAGAAAAAACAGTATAGACAATATAGAGGGAAATAAAAAGAAAGATCATATGTACAGATGTTTTTTTGTTTTTTACTTCCTCACAGCGTTTTCAGTTGAAGTATATTACTCTGCAATGCTCCACATTGTGGGTACTTTCTAACGCATACAATCCTACAGGTGTCACTGGACATTGAAAAGCCACACATGGTTTCTGTATATACCTACATTTTTCAAGATTACATATATACATATATATATATAAAATAAATGTAGACAGTTCTTCCGGTTTATATAGCAAATAATCAGCCTGTAAGTTTTCTCGGAACAGGAACACAAATTCTGAGCAAAAGTGGAGATATTTAAAGAGCCTTCTAATTTTATTGCGTCATTTCAGAGAATCAGCGGAAATGTGGACACTGCTGGAGCTTTATAAAAGACAAACAGAATCACATTATTCTATATTAATATTTGTTTTGTTTGTTTCATCAGATTACACATTATATCAAGTCTAAATGAACCATGACTGATTTTTGAAAATCTAATTACATATGTTTGTTTTTTAAATGTACATTATTATTATTATTATTATTATTATTATTATTATTATTATTATTATTATTATTAAATATGAACGTAACTAAGAATTTATACGAAAGCAACACCGATCTGGGGGAGGAGGCTATGAAAAGAGGGAGGCAACACTCGTCACCCTCTGTTTAGCTGAACACCAGCCAGGCCGTAAATAGCAACGATAACTGATAATAATTTACTTCAAAAATAAATCCTGGTTTAGACAAGAAATAGGATACAATATTTTATGTCTACGTGATTCTATTCTTTTTCTAATGAATCTGAGCAGAATCGACCTCTAGACTGTGATTAGGGATCAGGTGGATCAGATGCAGGATCCAGAAACGACATACAGAAACTACGACCTGCTTTTTCACAGTCCATTTAATTAAAACACGATCTCTCAGCAAGGCTTCATTCGCTGTGGTGTATTCATAGTGTCTGAGGCGCGGGAAGACAAATTGCTTCTAGCCTCACAGTTTGAAGACAGTTTTAGGAGCCTCTGCAGTTTTAGCCTGCAGTAGAGTGGATGGCAAATCTAATAAAAGACTACTCTGTGGTGTATTTGCATTCCCCAAACACTGAAAACATTACCATAAAGAATATTTTTGAAATTCAAAATCCAGCTCAGAGAAGCGTTTTCCTACATCACAACAACCTTTTCATCAAAGGCCATTTTCCGCTTCCATTTGCAGGCTAACACAGTTATTGGAAATGAATCAGTCAGCTCTAAACTCTATATGATGACCTCATCGTGAGACAAAGGGTTCATTCAAATATTGTCAGATCATAGAAGTATTGACGTGGACCTACTATGCACGCGCAACATGGCCCCATTACTGCAAATTAATAGATTGTTATGGGATTATTGTTCTGGCTCATATTGATCCGTAAACGTCTGCAGCATATTGCGTCAAGTAAGAGCAACGTTCACACGCCGCCTGGCTCGGCTTATGACCTTGATTTGCGCGCATAAATTGAAAAAATTACCACTCAATAATTTCCATTTGTGCGACATCTTTATGTAAAGGAGAAAAGGGAGCGAGCGGGGCCAAAATCAGATAAAGTAGCTGCATTTGCAGGAACTGGGACAAACGGACGTGACCGGGGACTGCGCTTAGTGTATTACATTAAAATGGAGCGCTGAATTGGTAATTTTGAGCCCTATCATAGGTTTTAGTGCCAGTTTGGAAACACACAAGTGGCCCGACCACCTTGCATAATGCTAGCCTCTTCTTTGTAGCCACTTGCATCCCCTCAAATGTGTTACATATCATTATAGCTGGACTTAAAGGCTTGATATTAAAGCATTTATTTTGACAGCAATAAGCAATGTTTTATTGTCTTTAAAAATATATAAATATATATATGTATGTGTGACAAAAAATAAAGATTAAATAAGGTCCCCGAGATCTTTGGGGAATCTGACGTTTTCATACCAAAACAAAAATCACAGGAATCCCAGTCCGAATCCACGTTTGTCCTCAAACCCTGACCTCTAAAGTTTTCGATATCTTTGAAAAGTCATATCCAACAACAAGCATCATCTTTCCTGGCTTCTTCTGGCAAAATGGGCCAAATTGTTGTGACTGTGGGTACAGAAACGTTTAAGCAAACCTCCTTATAAAGGATCTTCGGCTCTTTACTGCTAAAAAAACTGCATACAGTCATATACAAATCGTATACCAGTGAATTCCCGTAATCTGCGTGCAGATAAAAGCGACGTCGACACCTCAAGTTGCCAAAGTCATGCGTTTGAAGAACTCTTTTGACACTTCTCAAAGAGGAAATCTTGTTTTAAACCCATCCCATTTGCTTTCCTGATTGAATGCGAGCATCAGATTTTCATC